TTGCCGTGCGCCAATCGCCATGTAAGCCTCGTATGCAAGCCTCACAATCCATTCTCCTGCTGCACTCGCCTCGCCAGCCTGGCCCCATTCCGTTCCTAGCACATGTCCTTGCACACCTTACGATCATCCAACTTACAGCCTTTGGAAACGCGGGCAGCTGCTTCACAAGGACCCCCCTCGTTTCTAACTCTAAAAAGGTAACCGCTTAGGTAAAAAATGATACTGCCGTACAGTCTCTATAGGGAAGAAGGCCAATGATGCCGTACAGTCTCTATAGGGAAGAAGGCCAATGATGCCGTACAGTCTCTATAGGGAAGAAGGCCAATGAACAAGGCCCTCAAGTCGTACGGCCTAAAGGGAAATCTATCCGTCGCTGGCTCTACCTGCTAAGCGGAATCTGCAACAATTTCTTTTAAGTATATGACAGCAAGTTTAAGCATATTGATCTTTCGCCTTGTAGCGTGCTTGATGCTGTGTGGTAAAGCACTGTGTTCCGCGTCTGCGTCCATTTTGCCTGCCAAAAGTGGTGAACCAACTTAATCAAATGCAAATTTACAATGCCATAAAAACGAAAATGTAGGTAGTGCTGTTACGCACTTTTCGGCGGCGGCAAGATTTCGCACGGCATCATCGCACGACCGATCTGCGTCGCTGTTCAGCCAGTATTTAGCCCAGTGCATAAATATCAAATACTGTGTATTACATATGACTTCTTCTTTTCACAATTTGTAGGGTTAGTTTGGCTTCTTTTCCTTCGCCGTTATCGTTGTGATAGACTGATCCTTGAGTCAATACATTCATTAAAGCCTTGGACTGCTAGTGAATATAAAGCTAGTAAATGTTGTCATTGTCGGTACAATCGCTGACGTTCAGCATTGTGGTCCTGCTCGCCATGGCCACGACACACTATGACGACGGGTGATCGCCTTAAGTCCGCGTTAGTTCGCGTTAGTTCGCGTAACGGTGCGAATCTTAGCGTTAGGTGCGAATGAGCATGTTTTTGTAACGCAAAGAGCTAACGCACAACGGCTATGAAAAAGCGGAAATCGGCCCTACTGGCTAAAATTTTTAAATTTTATAATTTTCAGATTGTAAAGGTTCATTTGGAAATAAACTTGCGTCGTTTTGGTCGACTTGAGCAATTCATCCGTGCTTATGTTGAAACGCGAAGCATACGCGCATGTGTAGCAAGGCGATACGCATGCGATTCCATATTGCGATTCGTGCGTGTGGGGAGACAATGCGTAAAGCAATACGCGTCCAATCGCACATCAAACGCATACAGTCCGCAAGGCTATTCACATGCGAATACATGTTGCGTTTCATGCGTATGAAGGCTGATTGCGTCAAGTTTACTGCGGCCTAACACACCAAACACACACCAAACACACACCAAACACACACGATTTACTTTGATTAATCGCATGACATAACAATTCACATGCGATGTTTTATGTGTTGGTCGCATACTCAGTTCGTTAACCTTCACGCAGTCTCATAAGA